GTGAACATTTCACCTCAAAGTCATCATTTCTGTGGAAAAAAAAATCAGAGGAAAACAACATAAAAATCAAATGCAAATTTCAAACAGCAAAACCAACAGTTGCTACAGGGATCCAACTGGTGACCTTGTTGTGTAAGGCAAAAGCACAACCACTGTCCCACCATGGATGTCCCAGCGAGATTGTAATTATTCAGAGAAGATAATATCTGTAAAGTTATCTAAATCTAACGTATGAAACTGACACGACAGTCAAGAGTCAAACTGCCACGTTCTTATCAATAACGACGCTGGGTTTGAACGTCAGCAGTTCATCATGACCACGTCTCCAGGCGTGAGATTTGATCATTAGAAAAGTAAATGAATCAGGAGCAGCTGATGTACCTACTGAAGAGGCCGTGGAGTATAAACGTGTACAATGTGAAATCATAGGACAAGAAACTGAAGACGATTAAGTTTTGACTTTTCAGTCAGACAGTCAGGCTGGGACGGTGTGTGTGGTGGAGAAGAACGGGAGATGACTCACTTCCAGTTGGCTCATTATAACCAGGGGGGAAATTACCCTGGACCATGTGGGAGACGTACTTCCTTTTATCCGTCCATGATCAGACTGTGTCACTTCTTTTGAAGGAGACCTGAAAACACACCTCCATACAGCAGACACACGTTCCCTTTGTAACAGAGTGTGGTTTCGACACCAGCCGACTGCTGCTGTGTTTATTTAGATGCCATTCATGAAGTGTCTGAGGCAAAAGGGGACTTTATGCAAAGGGGAGATAACCAGTGCTAAAAGCTTTCTGTCGTCCTCCCTCTCTCCTCCTCTAACTACTGCCTCCCTCGTTCGCACACAGGCAGACTGGTGGAAAGATATCGTTGGCACAGGGAAGGAAACCATGGAAACCAGAAGCTGATGCAGTGTGAATGGTAAGACCCTGAAAAAGAAGACATTCATTCACTTCGGTTGCCCTCTACTAAAGGCTCATCTCTCGCACATTATTCCAAATGCTTCAAGTTCAGTCAGGTTGGAAGAAAGACGACAATGGCTGCACTTCATCTTCCTTTTATGCCAGGATGACTGTAGCAGAGAATGTCTTTACACTTTGGCAAAGGCTCACACACACACACACACACACACACACACGTACATACAAAGTAAGTCAGCTTTTTCTGTTTTGTTAGCACTTCACATATTGTAGACATATATTTCCAGACCCTCACATTAACCATGACATAAAAAGGCCTCATCCTTATCCCTGTTGGAACTGATCTAATCTGACCCTAATTCTAATCCTCCTCTCTTGGTGTCCCACCTCCAATAGTAATCCAATGATTAGCTAAAGATATAGTAGTGATAAAACTCAAAAATCAGATCAGAAATTGTGAATAAATGACTCAAATGTAGTTAAATCTTATCATCCCAAAAATACAAAAATCTAGAAAAAAATGCACATTTTCAAGACTGTGAATGAAGTTGAAACCAGTAAAGCCATCAATATAATCACGACATAAGAGAAAGCTAGCCTTTAGGATGCTAAAATGCTACAAATTGGTAGCACAAAAGCTAACATAGAAATTCCTAATAATTAATAGGGCTAAAAATGGACAGCACCCAAATCCCGTCGGCCTCAGTTTTCACTGGAGCGACAGAACATTCTTCAGAGATGACAATTAGCCGAGCGAGGCAGTAATTAGGAGCTCTGTGAGCTCTGTCACTTCCTGTTAGAGCTGATGGATGCACGCTGATGCTGCTCCACGCATCATCGCCTTCTGGCAGCTGTAGTCACATGACTAGACGGACCAAGTTTGTATTCGCTGTGATCAGACCAGCCAGGCTGTGGAGTAGACAAGGACTTGAAGGCCACCTGTAATCTTTACTTTTTTCACTCACAGAATCCTGCTGCTCTTCATCCAGCCATACAACCATCTAAAAGTTGGCTAAGTTTTATACTTAGTTACTTATTAGTAACTGTTTACTATACTCTTTGCCAACTTTCTGTATTTCCAGGACCTACTTTTGGGTTAACGGCTGCAGCATTACAGGGACTTTTGTTTTGGTTTGAACCCAAACCCAGAGCCAAGGTTTCCAGTTTTGAAAAGTCAGTGCGTCTTAATTACTCCGTGTGTTTGTTATCTTACTGAAAAATGAACAGGATTTTTTTTTTTTCAGTAGGAATCTGTCCAAAAACGAGACGTCTTGGGACTTAATTTCCTTCCTAATTAAACAGAAGTATTGCTGAGGCTCTAAACAAATGTGTTAAAAAGCAGTGCCGTGACATGAGGCTTAATTCTAATCATAAGTATCACAGGAGGAGCAGCCTGCCCTCCGGTGTCTTCACACTGCTGAATCTGGTTTCCCCAGAGAAACGCCTGGACACCTCTGTTTTACGGTGATCCTCCTCTGTTTCTGACCGTTTACACCATATGTTGAATACGCTCCAAGCAGCCATTAACTCAAATGTATTTAACTTCCCCGATCGGTACTTTCTGTTCTTAGCCTTCATGAAAAACACACGTTATTCTTCAAAGTTCGCTTCAAACGCTCTGTTCAAACGCTCTGTTGTTATCGAGAAAATGGAGTAATTTCTCAACGTCGAGGGTCTAAAGAATGTCCTGCAGACTCACATACACCAGTCTGTACAAACAGTCGGCCGGGCTGAGAGGATGGAGGGCGGCTGGAGTCGTTATTAAACAGCATCCAGCAGAGCCTGGTGTGCAGGATAAGGACGTCCTTACAGGG